AAACTTTCACTATTGGGCCTTGCTTATCCCTTAATTATTTTGTTTTAAAAGCCAAAATACCCTTAGTTTCTTTTTTATAGGTCAAATTAGATTGCACTTCTAATTCTGCAACAAGGACACTTTGCTTAGCTACATATTTCCTCAATACTGACACATGAAATACATTATAGATATCAGACATGATCCAACAAAAATAGTCTATAAAGCAGATGTTCCAACATGTTCGATTACTTTAAATGCTCAAACATATCGAGGACTTAGCTTGCCATCTCTCCAAAATTTGCTTCTTTCGTCCAGCTAACCTTCAAATAAACAAAATTCCCAATTTAAAATTCAGAAGATTTATGCTCATGATCAAAATACTTCCTCTACCTGTCGTGAGCTCTTCCTATTTTTAATTAATATGATCTTTTTAGAGGCATTGTCCACTAGCTTTAATCCTATTGCTTTTCTTTATGTTGCTTCAGCCCAAGACAACGGACTTCTACATTCCCTCTCTTACAAAACTTCATACGAAACCATGTCACTTCTTGCTTGGAAAATATTATTATAGGCAAACTCAATAAAAAAAATGTGATATTCCTAGCTTCCACCAAAATCCAAAACACAAAATCTTAATAGGTGTTCTATTATTTGAATCACTCTCTCAGATTTCCTATCTGTCTGGGGATGAAAATATGTACTTAAATTCAACTAAGTCTCTAAACCTTCTTGAGTACTTTTTCACAACCTTGAAGTGAACCTTCCATCACGATCATGAATAATAACCTTCTCAAAAGAATATATCTTATGACAATGGCGGTGGGTTTTGGGCACTGTTGTGTTAGGTCGAAACTTCTTATTTAAAATATGTTTTTTCATATTATGTTCTATTTTGATTCGAGCTGTCGACACCAAGCAAGCAAAAGAGGAGGTTTCCTAGAGAGAGTAAGTTTACTTTGAGTTACTTCTGTCCTTTTTCAACCATTGGCCCCCAATTCAAGAAATTGTCTTGATCGAGGTAGGTGACCTCTGCTAGTGGTGTTAATACCTGACCTGACTTGCAACCCGAACCATAACTAACCTAGAAAATTTTAAGTTTGGATCAACCCTTTTGTCATATGGTTTGGGTTTGAATTCAAGATTCTGACCCATCTTTAAAATCACGTTGGGTTCGGATTGTTCGAAAAACTTGAAAGGTAACCTGAATGACTTGGATCCAGCACTCGCAAGTAACGACCATCTGCACTCCTCAACGCTCTCGTGCTCGCGAAAGCCCGCGACGGGTCGTGACTGCATCCACACTGGCCACGATCACCCTTTTGCCTCCCGCGCTCGCGTCTATATCAGGACTCGTGTTAGTGCTAGCGCTTGCATCATCATCATCCTAATGTGCATCAACTCCCGCAATCGCAAAAAATTCACTCATGCGATCGCATCTTAGCTCACTCTCACGCACCCTTTGCACTCGCTTTCGTGCCCGGACTACTGTTGTATTTTGGGTTAGCTATTCGAGATGGGTCAGCTCAATAACTCGGTGGGTCGGGTTTGGGTCACAAACTCTAAGCTATTTGCAAAATCAGGTTGGATTCAGGAAAGCTGAATTGGACTCGAGTTAATTTCGGATTTGGCCTGAATTTGACACCCTTATCAAGCCTATCTCTATTTTTAAAATTTCAGAGATTTTTTTTTTAAAATTTTTATTAACTTTATATTTCTATTATTAAAAAATGAAGATGACATTGCACAGAGCATAACTTTCATCGTATAATTTTATCTATGTTGTAGATACATTAGTTCTGAACATTCAAAAATTTTCTAGAAAATTTTGCACCATATTTTTAAAATGTGTACATTTTTAATTATTTAAAAATAGTATGAAGTCTAGAAAACAATTTTGTTATACAACTAAAGGCTTGAAATAGTGTTTTGCGTAATCTTTAGTAATTTGGTTTTGTTTTAAAATAGTAAATTTTGGCTCAGTAGTATATTATGTTTCCTACCGTTATAGCACTTTGTGAAAATTTGAAATGAGTTCATTTATAATTAATGCACAATTTGGTACCCAATGGTATATGTTGGTGCTGAGAGCATATCTTGGTGCTATATGCACACTTTATTATCAAAATCTCTGATTCTATCTATATAAGGGGTCATAATCTTTGGATTCTTTTTAAAATAAAGTGAGAGGAATGAGGGGTCAGAATTTTTTAAGATTTTGTTTGATAGAGAGTACTAGTTTGTTTATTTATTTTCTAGCATTGGCATTTAAACTTTTTATAATTGCAATTATAATTTTTCTCAACACTCTGATGAATTATGTTTCAGTAAGTTAAAATGCTTTAATAATAAATTTTTTTAGAAATTTATATTAGAAAAATATTAGTTGTTAGGCTATTTTAGCTCACAGTGATTTCATTTTTATTTTCAATACTTCTTTCCATTTATTTTTTTATTATCATGACTATTTTTTTGCTCTATTTTGTAGCTTTTTCTATAGCCATATATTGTTGTTGCATGTACATTTTGATGATAAGTAAAAAAAGAAAATTTGGCAGTTTAGCTTACTTACAACACTCGATATTAATTGTAGCTATGTAGCATGTGATTATTACTATTTTAAAGTTAAAATTTGGAAGCAACTTCTTAAAAATTTTTAAAACTAAATCTTAGTGCTTATTATTGCAAGCCAACATGAAAGGACATGCCCAGTCTGTGTTATATCGAGTTGTGTTGTGACACTAACTTCCAGGATTACACCACAAACTTCTTTATTTAATAGAATGCCTGTTGGCCCACCTCTTATATTGGAAATTAATGTTTTAAGAATCAACAAGCATTAATTATAGTGTTGACAGCCAACCTTCATTGCTTACATGTAAATGTCACATTTATCTTATATCAATTATATCATTTTTCTCCATATAATGTAAGTCACTATCATGTATGAAATGTAAGAAAATCTATATATTGTGCATTAACTTCATAAAATTATAACTATCAATCTACCAGTTGAAATTCAATAATATTACAATCAAAAGGCTCATAAGAATCGTATCTATCATATAGAAAAAATTACACGATAAAAATTGGGTAAATTAGGATTATATATATATATATATATATATATATATGGTAGATTTAGAAATAATAAAAAAATATACAAATAAAAAATATCAAAAACAATAATAAGAGTATAGTCACTTACATTAATTAGAATAAATTTTTTAATATAAGTGATGGACAAAAATATCCCGAAACACGTCCACTCTCTTCTCTCTCCTCCTCTCTCATCCATCTTCTCTTCTCCTCCTTTCTTTCTTTACTGGCCAAATAATATGAGAATGAGTAAGGGTGGTGGGATGACAGGGATATTTAAATGAAAAATATCAAACAAATCATTTTAGTGTCCAACGCTGTGGCACACACGATTCAGCACCGTTGCATTACATGCTGCTCCTAGAGTTGTTGTAGAATAAAGAGCTCGGCACCGTGATGGCTCATTGCTAGCGCCGCTGTGCTTGTTAGCTCAGTTCTACAACACTGACTGCTGGATTATTTTTTTATATATCTTAAACAAATTTATTTTAAACTTTTGGGTTATTACAAAATGCACCCTAAATTATCTTCTTAATTCAAAAAATGAGCTTCCATAGGGATGCTCATTATCTCCATTCATATTTAGCTTTATAAAGAATTCCTTCTTCAAAACTATTAAGGCCTTCCATGCAAACATTCAAATGCCTTATCAAAAAGCATTAGAAGTTTCACATCATATACATGTAGTTGTTCTCTTGGTTTTTGGGATTACTGGCAATTTAATTATTATTTGCCTTGAGTAGATTATAAACTTCTTTAATAATGCTACTAGACTGATTGCAAATGTAAATAAATTTATTACTTACTTTGCAAAATCGATTCATTCTACTATGTAGGAACATTTTTGTAATGTTCTTGATTTTAGCCACATGACACTCCCTTGGGATTATTTGGGTATTCAACTCTTTTCATCCTTGCTTAAATTAGCCAATTTTATAAAACAAAGAAAATTTGAATATATGGAGTGGCTAAAAATAGAAAGTTATCCCATTCACTAGTTAATTTTAATTAATTAGATTCATTATTTGGATATGCTTACTTTATGCCTCTCTCTCGAGTGCTTAAGGAGGAAAGTTGTTAATCTGATCAACAATTTTTTTTTTGGCAATGGTACCAATAACAACTTTTATACAATATCTTCGAAGATCAATCATTTGTCAAGAGAAAAAGGTGGTTTAGGGCTCCCCTGTCCCCTCCCTTGATACTCTTCATACCCTTAGCAAAGCTAAACTAGTTTGAATATTGTATTACTATGATTCTCCTCTATTCAATTGGTATTCCAATGATTATAGATCCCTTTGTATAAAACCTACTTACAACACCTCAAAATTTTTTAAAACAATTACATAAATTTTATTTTTTATTTTTGGAAAATCAGGAACTACATTACTTTTGATCCTTAAATGTACAGTAAATCTTTAATTGAAATTTTGAGGATATTTATGGATTGGTTTCATTGCAATCAACATGTTAAGAATTTTGATTTTGACTTCGTATGAGACTACTTTCTTACTGCAATATTATAAAATTATTTTAAGCGGCAGGAAGAAAACCATCTCTAATATGCAGAAAAATTCTAAGAGGAGGTCTTAAAAGTAAAAGATTTTTTTCTCTTGTAAATTATGGGATCAATTTGATTACATTCTTGAATTTAATTAGTAATTTCAATTTCAATTAGTTTAGTTTTCAGTTCCCACATATAATGATCAATTGACTCCGTTTTCAAATCCGTTCACCCTCACTAACTCGTCTCTCGAATTCACATCGAGGGCATCCCCTTCCATCCATTATTATCATATTGATTGCTTCCAGAAAAGGATATTCAACCATTCACATTAAGGGTTCATACACTATTTATTTAAAAAATAGAAGGTACAATAATTCATCAGTTAGGTCTGCTATAAATACCCATTAACCCCTGCTTCCTTATCAAGCATTTCACTTTGCAAGCAGAGCATACGGCCGTCGACTCTGCCGGAGATGGAGTTTGGGGCGTCTCCATGGGTGACATACTCTACAATCTTCGCGCTCTTCTTGGCCATCATCATCAGAGCTATGACTAACCATCGGGGCCGGCGACCGAACCTACCTCCTGGACCCCGGCCGTGGCCCATCATTGGGAACCTGAACCTCATCGGAGCACTCCCGCACCGCTCCATTCACGAACTCTCCAAGAAGTACGGCCCGCTCATGAAGCTTCAATTTGGTTCCTTCCCGGTAGTGGTGGGATCCTCTGTCTCCATGGCTCGCCTCTTTCTAAAGACCCACGACCTGGCCTTCGCTGGCCGCCCTAAGACCGCCGCCGGCAACTACACCGCCTACAACTACTCCGACATCACGTGGTCTCAGTATGGACCCTACTGGCGCCAGGCTCGAAAGATGTGTATCACCGAGCTCTTCAGTCCTCGAAGCCTCGACACCTACGAGCACATTCGATCCGCCGAGCTACGTCGGCTTCTTCGCAGCCTCTTCGACGCCGCCGGCAAGCCCCTCCTCCTTAAGGACCATCTCACTACTCTCAGCCTCAACGTCATCAGTCGCATGGTCTTCGGCCGCCGCTACCTGGACCCCACAGCAGAGGACCAGGCGGCGCCGCCACCACACGTGTCCCCGGAGGAATTCAAGAGGATGCTGGACGAGCTGTTCCTCCTCAACGGTGTTCTAAACATCGGAGATTCCATCCCATGGCTAAACTTTCTTGACCTGCAGGGCTACATTCGTCGGATGAAGGCCGTCGGCAAAAAGCTCGACCGATTCATGGAGCACGTTCTGGATGAACACATCGCCCGGCGAGTGAAAGAGGGGGAGAATTTTTCGCCCAGAGATTTGGTCGATGTCCTAATTCAATTCGCAGAGAATCCCACCCTCGACGTGAAGCTCAACAGGAGCAGCCTCAAGGCTTTCTCTCAGGTAATCAATTTGGAGATCGATTTACCCTTCAAAATTGCAGTTTGAATAATTTCATTTCAATTCCATGACGCGTATCATTGATTAATTTTGACTTCAGGACCTAATTGCTGGCGGCACAGAGAGCTCTGCCGTGACTGTGGAGTGGGCAATCTCGGAGCTCCTGAGGAAGCCACACATCATGAAGAAGGCGGCGGAGGAGCTTGACCGCGTCATCGGCAGGGAGCGATGGGTGGAAGAGAAGGAAGTGCAGGACCTCCCTTACATCGAAGCCATCATGAAGGAGACGATGCGGTTGCACCCTGTAGCGCCAATGCTAGTCCCTCGCCAAGCCCGCGAGGACGTCGTCATCGACGGCTACGACATTCCCGCCGGCTCACGCATACTCGTGAACACGTTCACCATATCTCGGGACCCTTCCATTTGGGAAGAACCCGACGAATTTCTGCCGGAGAGGTTCCTCGGCAGGGAAATGGATGTGAAGGGTCATGACTTCGAGCTGCTACCATTCGGATCTGGGAGGAGGATGTGCCCAGGCTACACACTCGGTCTCAGGGTCATTCAATCCAGCCTGGCCAACATCCTTCATGGCTTCAGCTGGCGCTTGCCCGATGGGGTCAAGGCGGAGGAACTCAGCATGGACGAGATCTTCGGCCTTTCTAATCCGAAGAGGGAGCCTCTTGTGGCTGTCGCCGAGCCCAGGCTACCCCTGCAAATGTACTTGTCTTCTTGACTATCGACGAGAAGGGCAAGGGTAAACAATAAAAATAATTAAATTATATATATATATATATATATATAAGTGCTAGAGTGCCCAGTACTGGATTTGGAAGAAATCAATGAAGAAAAATTCAATAATTAGTATGCCTTCGTGCTAGCTGCTTTCTTGTCGTAATTAGTGGTTGCAATGATATAAAAATTCAAAGTAAGAGCTTATTGATATATAGCTACATTTTCTTGTATTGGCTCAAGTAAATTTAAGCTATGATTTTGTATTTTGGAATTTGGATTGTTAGGGGTTGTGTTTCTATAGAAATGTTATTTTGAATTCTCTGCATCTTTCATCTTAAGGCATATGATTTTGTGGTAATGTTATATTTTAAGAAAATTTTTGTTGACTCCAATTGAGGTTCATCTTTGCCTTCACTGAATGATAATATCTTAAATTTTTTTAAGGTACTAATTTTTAGGTGAAGAGTTTTGTAGGACTTGGAAGTATTTTTTTAGCACGTGGATGTAATTATTTGAAAGTAAAGGGAAATTATTTGGTTTTAAGAATTTCAAAGATCATGCATGAATTTTGATGCAAATTAGAAAGCACTCAATATTTTGAGCCAAACTGAAAAAAACTTACATAAAAGTATTTGGAGGGAGTTAAAATGAGCTTCAACTTCAATGAATAAGCAAACCCATTGCTAGTACATCACTTTTGCCAAGAGAATAAATAAATAATGTTATATAATATATGATTAAGGCTATGGGGTGTCAGTATTTGACACAACCTGAAAATTCAATCTAAACCTAACCCGAAAATTTCGAGTTAGGGTCTACCCGTTTTCAAATGGGTTGGGTTCGGATTCTAGGATTTGATCTGTATGAAAAGACAAGTCGGGTCCGAGTCAACCTGCTTACCCAAAGTTAACCTAGATATACCCGCTCGGGTTTGTTTTTTCTCTTATCCCTCGAACGCCGCTCAACTACCCACGGCCGCTCCACAACTTCTTCGTCTCCTTCAACAACATTCGTTCATGTTGGCTCAGTAGTCAACATCTCATGCCATTCTTCAGTTGGATCGAAAGTCATGATAACTCGTCGTTCCTTCCTATTAGCTTAGAAGTCACACAACTTGTCATTTTTTGCCTCCTTCGATGACTTTCATTCCTATCGGCTTGGTAGTCACGATAGCTCGTCGGTCTTCAATTGGATCGGAAGTCACGACAGCTCGTTTTTCCTTCCTGTCGTCTTGGAAGTCACATAGCTAGACATTCTTCGCCTCCTTCGACGTCGTTTGTTCCTATTGGCTCGGTAGTCATGACACCTCGTTGTTCTTTAGTTGGATCGCAAGTCACAATAGCTCGCTGTTACTTCCTGTAGACTCGGAAGTCACGCAGCTCGTCGATCTTCACCTCCTTCGATGATGTTCCTTTCTGTTATTTCATGTCGGAATGGGTCAACTCAAAAACTCGGTGGGTCAGGTCGAGTTTGACATTTCTGACCATTCTACAAAAATAGGTCAGGTTCAAGTCATGTCAATCAATGGCGGGTCAATATCGGATTTGAACCAAACCCGACCCGCAACCAGATTTTGATACCCCTAATTAGGTTGTGCCCTCTCATGTCACCTAATGTATAATTTGCCATGTGATTGATTTTAAATGTTGATATTTGAATTGTGATATGTTTTGATGCACCAATCAAGAATAATTTTGATTTAAGTTTTAACAATTTAAGAACTTTATGATTTAAAAAGGATTAATCATCTTAGTGAATTTTAATAAATAGAGAGATTAATCAACAAAAGATTTGAGCACTAAAGTGGCCGACATAATCAACTAAAAGGTAGATTTGGCCACAACATTATCATAATCTACATCTCGAATGATTTATAAATTTTCATATTTTCATTTAAGCGTTCATTAACGAGCCCACGGACTAAAATAAAGCATATATATCGGCAAGGGTGAATCACTTCACAATATAGTCCAAGTCTAAGTTATTTTTAGAGTTTTGGAAAATAATCATATTTCTGGACATAATTTAAATTTTTTATTAGTTTAAAAATATAGAAGTCTTATAAATTTAAAAATGAGAATGTCTTGGGCAGTCTTAAACACCATTCTTACTTATACGTCAATAAAAATCATCTTGATCATGCATGAATCTCGAGACATTCAAGTTTAAAACTTCTGAAGTCAAATTCGGGGTCATCTGAACTCTAATTTCAACAAATTTATCATTAAACTAAATGTCTCAAAGAGATGAAACCAACGACACCAAAATCGGTCCGATCCGAATCCAAATGGATCCAATCAAGAGTCTAAAGCATATTTAGAATGTTCAAAGCATTATTTAGATGACAAAATGATATCCAAATATGCAATGCTTATAATCAAATCGAACGTCTCGGCGAGATGAATCCAAAGAGCACAAGATCGTTGAATTCTACATTGTTAAGGCACTTAAATAGTTGAAAACACTCTTTGATCTGGGGAATCAATACGGGCCATCTGATGGGGCACTTCAAACCTATCCCAAATCTTCTATATAATTATGGGGTGTACCACTCATAAAAATCTATAAATAGATCCACACTCTCTACACGAAGGGGACATTTTTTTGCTGGATATTGGAGAGAGCTCTCAGGCTTAAAGAGCTCCAGCACTACCATTGACGAACACCCAACGACTATCGCCAGACTTCCACTTGACCGTCGTTAGACCACCTCTCGACCAATGGACTTTCACTCGGCCACCGTCGGACTTTCACCTAGTAGCCGACCATCGTCGAACCTCTGCCCGACCTTCATTGAACCGCCGACCACCGTCGGACTTCTGCAGAACCATCGTCAGATCATTCTCCATAAGCTGAACTTCTACTCGGACATTGTCGGACTTCTGTCGAACTGTCGTTGGAAATTTTTATCAACTCTTCAAACTACTGTAATTCAACCGCCTTTAAGTCAAGGGATGGGTCAACTTTTGTAATTCACTCAAATTTAGTATAATCTTTTCACTATTTGGGTTTTCTAAGTAAACAAATTTCTGTGATTTACTACTCTATCTCTGTTCGTGTGCTGGATATTCGTGCATTGCTAAGACGAAAAGTTTTCTCACTCTACTGTCACGAATATTCTAGCTCACAATAGTTTGGCACTTTCTATGAGAAACTCAATCCCACCTTGGCTGAATGGAGATCGCTCGTAAATTTAGGAGCTAATTTTGAATGAGTAGAAGTTGTGAAACCCCTTAAGTAATAGAAAACCTAACTCTTAAACATTGAGGAATTTTCATAAGAAACTCCACAGTTAAGCATGCTCATCTCAGAGCAATTCTGGGATGGATGACCTACTGGGAAGTTACACCAACAGGACAAAACCGTGAGGCTCTTAAGCCAAAGTGAATAATATCTCGATAGTTAAGAGTTTCTGTTGTTACAAATGGTATCAGAGCAATACACCAGCAGGAAGATTGGAGCTAAGTGCAATACAATACAAAGTGTTACGCCATGAGAGCCACCTCTTGAACCCTGTATGGGACAAAGTGCTACATGACGGGAGCCACCACTTGAACTTATAGGGGGCCACCTCTAGAGTTCTATCTGCCTAGTGGATGATTCTAGGATACAGATGTTGACGAGGATGTCAGCTACTTAAGTGGGGGAGATTGTGAAACCCCTTAAATAATAGAAAGCCTAAATCTTAAACATCGAGGCGCCTTTTGATGTAACGGTTGGAATTTCCGTAAGAAACTTTGCACTTAAGTGTGCTCATCCCAGAGTAATTCTAGGATGAGTGACCTACTGGGAAATTACACCACCAGAACAAAACCGTGAGGCTCTTAGGCCAATGCAGACTATATCAATAGTTAAAAGTTTGGGCTGTTAGAGAATGCACCTTAAGCTAATCTACGATGGTAACTTTTGATCACCTATGATTACTTCTATTATAAATTTCTTCTTTGATTAATTTCTCTTCTATATGACGCACTTTCGATTGTCAGGATTTATCCAATAAATTTTGAACCTTATTGCTTTGTTTATGTGTAAATTAATTCCAAATGTTGAAAGTGCGTCGCATTATTGAGACCGTACAATTGCATGATGAAATTAACTCAATCGTTATTAGATCTCTTATTGACATGTTTTATTATTTATGCTCCACCTTGAATTGTTTTGCCTAGCATTCGCATCATTTTGAGCAATTTGAATACAAGCTTGTTTTTCAAGTAATTGCTCGCAACCTAATACATTTGTAATAGTTACCATAAAATAATCTATTCTCATACATATAGGTATTTCTGGACTAATTTTCATTATATATTAAAACACTGTCTTTCCTTCGGTTGCTAACGAGTATGATGAAATTATGTTTGATACAGCTTCAGAATTTTGTGCAGGGGTGTCAATTTCGGGTCAGGGGTCGGGTTCGGGTCAAACCTGAATTGACCCGGGTGCAAAACGGGTCGACCCTAACCCGACCCGGGTAGAGAAACGGGTCGAAAATCCGAACCCCGAACCCGACCCGTTTTGAAATCGGGTCGGGTCCAACCCGTTTTTTCGGGTCGGGTTCGGGTCGGATTTTCGTGTCGTGTCAAATATTGACATCCCTAATTTTGAGTACAAAATTTTAGGACTTGGTCATAATTGACGCGTTTGATTTATAATTTTTTGAATACAAAGAAATATAGATTATGTTTGAAACTAGAGATTCCATTTCATTTGTGTATGATTCCACAATATCGGTTCTTTGGATTGGTGCTAAGATAAGGAATGAACAAGTTTATTGATTGTATTCATTTTGCGCAAACCAACACTTGTCTAGATTGTAGGTTCGTTAATTTATTTATATTAGTTTATTATTTTGAATTAAGTACTTAAAATTATTTTTTTAAAAAAAAGAATTAACTTAAAATTGAGATGCAGTTATTTAATCAAATTTGAGATGTAGTTATTTTATTTTGCTTTTTTTGTCAGCGTTGCATAAGGCCGTGAATCTTTTTTGAATTATTTTCACCTGTAGCATTAAAATTTTTTTTGCAAATCTTATCAAGAGTTTATAATACAACAATTAAGAAATTTTGTGGAGCATCTGCAATATGGGAGCAAGATGTGAAGATGATATTTTGTGATTTATGTATAAAAGACATTGAACTTGACAATCGACTGACAACACACTTCAATACAGAGGTTTGGCTTAATTTAATGAAGAATTTTTAAGAGAAAACTTGATGAGAGTGTGATAAAGTGTAGCTATAAAACAAATTGAACCATCTAAAGTAAGATTGAAATTTATGGAAGGATATGAAGCGTGGCTCGACTCTATTGGGTTGGGATCATAGGAGAAAGATCATTGATGCACTTGATGAATGGTGG